CTTCTCTCAGATACAAGGAACAGGGAAATATTGGCAATCACCGAAAGAAATAGTCCCTGAAAGACACTAATACACTTGCCAGTGCAGCACTTGTTTCAGTGCGTATTTCTTAACCTTTAATCACATGAGCAGTATAGAAATTAATTACAAAGACACGTTTAAAACGTTTTCCTTATATTTATTCCAACAAGCATAGCGTTTCTCACATGCAGGAGCCAGGGAATGAACAGATCAACATGCATGGCCATGAAGCCTGGATAGGATGGCGGCAGGGCATACCGTTAGGTTTGGGGTTGCGTTGTGCATGGGGCACATGGGGGAGGGGGGTGTTGGTTGTTTGTTGCATGTATCCCAGTGACTGAAGGAACAGTGACTGCACCGCACAGACCGAGACGGTACTTCCTCAAGGTTGCTGAGACAACACTGCACTTGTGAGCGAGTCATGACAACATGTCTATGAATTATGAAACTAGTCTGTGATTACACCAGTGATGATATAACACTGTGGCCACGCCTGCAAGCGTGCGTGCAACTGAAGACTATTTATTTAATAATTCCCCTTGGAAAACGATGGCGCCGATTTCAAGACAACAATCTTTGTTGAACAACAATCAGTTAGATAGCGTGCAAGGCCTAGTCGCAACACGGCGCAATTCAATTCGTGATCAGTGAAGTATGACGGGCGATCTTAATTGCCCAACCATATGATATCATCTGCCCCCATATCCACGCAAAACGGTTCACAATTGTGAAAGTGCTACTTTGTGGAGAAATACATAACATACATGACTTTGATTGGATGGAATTGTGTGCAATAGCTTGTTGTGCTTCTTTAATACGGCATTATTCCGCTGGCGGGTAGGTCACGGGCAACAGCAGGATCACATAGTGTAGTGTACGTTGTCATGCACTCGCACAAAATTGTCTTCGCGGTCGACTTTAAATAATGACAAAATGTAAATGTGACTGTCCTCTCCGACGACCTATAACAATTACAAATGTAAATGTGACTGTCCTCTCCGACGACCTATAACAATTACAAATGTAAATGTAACTGTCCTCTCCGACGACCTATAACAATTACAAATGTAAATGTGACTGTCCTCTCCGACGACCTATAACAATTACAAATGTAAATGTAACTGTCCTCTCCGACGACCTATAACAATTACAAAATGTAAATGTGACTGTCCTCTCAGACGACCTATAGCAACTTCAAAATGTAAATGTGACAGTCCTCTCCGACGAGGTGAGGTGAGGTGAGGTGAAATGGGGTTTAACGTCGCGTCCAAGATTAATGCACTTATATAGCGACGTGCATGCAAATGTGTTTGTGTGTGGATGCTAGTCCTGCACCATGACCGTGGAATATATTTATTTTATGAAAAAATAATAATCTAGAAATGCATACAAAAGCAAGTCTAGCCATCTCAAGCTAGCTCTATTCCACAATCAGCATAGAGAATTGTTTTTATTTTTAGAGTCAAGAAGGATATTGTGTAATATAAGATTTCAGAGACTAAATGTTAGTCTATGTGGATGCTTGTACTTGTCCGGACTGATTCCGATTTAAAGTGCTAGCTCACTGAGATACCATGACACAGTTTAACATGAATACCCCACACAGACACAGTATACTGACTCCGAGCCGACCAGTCCTTGTTTTAGCCCCTGATTGCCGAGCGTCAGACAGGGTAACAACAAGTACCATCTTTTAATGTCTTTTGGTATGACGCGGCCGGGGATCGAACCCCGGATCTTCCGTTCTCCGGACGGACACTCTACCACAAGACCACGCAGGCGTTTAATTACAAAATGTAAACGTGAGTATCCTCTCAGACGACCTATAACAATGACAAAATGTAAACGTGAGTGTCCTCTCAGACGACCTATAACAATTACAAAATGTAATCGTGAGTGTCCCCTTAGACGACCTATAACAATTACAAAATGTAAACGTGACTGTCCTCCCCGACGACCTATAGCAACTTCAAAATGTAAACGTGACTGTCCTCCCCGACGACCTATAACAATTACAAAATGTAAACGTGACTGTCCTCCCCGACGACCTATAACAATTACAAAATGTAAACGTGAGTGTCCTCTCCGACGACCTATAACAATTACAAATGTAAATGTGACTGTCCTCTCCGACGACCTATAGCAATTACAAAATGTGGTATATGTATCATATGTAGCTTGTTGCGGGTATATGTATCATTTGGTAGTAGCTTGTGTGGAATATGCAGCATGTGTTAGTAGCGTGTTGTGTGCTATATGTATCATGTGTTAGTAGCGTGTTGTGTGCTATATGTATCATGTGTTAGTCGCGTGTTGTGTGCTATATGTATCATGTGTTAGTAGCGTGTTGTGTGCTATATGTATCATGTGTTAGTCGCGTGTTGTGTGCTATATGTATCATGTGTTAGTCGCGTGTTGTGTTCTATATGTATCATGTGTTAGTAGCGTGTTGTGTTCTATATGTATCAAGTGTTAGTCGCGTGTTGTGTGCTATATGTATCATGTGTTAGTCGCGTGTTGTGTTCTATATGTATCATGTGTTAGTCGCGTGTTGTGTGCTATATGTATCATGTGTTAGTCGCGTGTTGTGTGCTATATGTATCATGTGTTAGTCGCGTGTTGTGTTCTATATTTTTCATGTGTTAGTAGCGTGTTGTGTGCTATATGTAATCATGTGTTAGTCGCGTGTTGTGTGCTATATGTATCATGTGTTAGTCGCGTGTTGTGTGCTATATGTATCACGTGTTATTAGGGCAGTGCTGAACCCAGTACCAACGGTCTTGGTCGACCTGCCCTGAACACCTTCATGAACAGCCATTATTGCGTGTTGGCCATCCATTAAATACACCAGTGTATGACAAAGTTATCAATCAACACTGACGACATTACACATTGATCCTATCAGAATGTAGCTAATCACTCAAACGTTCACATAATCAAAGCGGGGCCAGTGACCTTCTGTACACCCGTCATCGGCCGGTATACGTAACACTGGTGCGACTCTTGCATAGTACACCGTAACATGCCACCGTAACATGCCACCGTAACGGCCGTCACCAGGGTCCTCCACACACAGCACGCTGCTCCCAGCCTTGCCCGTCAGTGTCGGACATACTTGTAAATACGGGGTATACCCTGGTGTACCATCGGGCCAATCTGTGTACACCTTATATACCTGTAGCGGCATCAAACAGCACAGGTCTCACCCCAAATACATCTACGGTTACAACGATCATGTACATAGTATGGTCAATGACCACCAACCCCCCCCCCCCCCCCCCCCCCCCACACACACACACACACCGCAGTCCTATTCCCGAGGCAAGAGCGTCCACTAGCGTGTATCGGTCTAGTCTGCTTTCATATAGGCCAGTGAATACTCTTGCCTCAGGAATACAATCTGTCATAAACATTACAGTTAGCACACACGCCAAGGCTGTAATACATGTACGTATCGTGTGGAACAATAGCACTAAAAACGATAATATTAACTGGCATCTACTGTCTCCAAACAAGCCAAACTAAATGTGCTTAGATTTAAACACCATCATTGGTGCTTATATCAGCTGAGTATATACAAGATCACACCATCGTCTATTAACATCTACAGTTATGGAATGTCAATATTAGTGCCGGGCAAAAAAAACCAGTTACCAGTCGATATACTAAAACTGATTATTATTGAGATGATTATTGTGGAGCAGTGCATGCCATATGTTTCATACAGTAACATACGTGACATACGGAGTTAAATGTAGACACAAATATACTATGTAACCTAATCAAAATGTTTCACAAGAAAAGTCTGGATTGAACCGTGTCCTGCTGAAGGAACCAGGAAGAGAACACTTCAAATATAAAACTACGTTTAGTAAATGAAAGGACAGTTGTAGGTTGTGTGTCGGGAAGTTGGCGATCAGTGGTGTGCGACTGGATACATGAGAGGGGAATCAGGTACACCCCCCGCCTGGCAGGCCGGCCGACCGACCACACCGTCACCGAGCAATTGTAGCTGGGGGAGGAGGGAGGGAGCCTGCGAGCGGCAGATATATTACACGACCGCGAGAGGAAACACAAGTCTAGGAGAGAGCTGTGCACTCCACCCGTCATCCGGCCCACTTGACACCTCCCCCCAACGCTCCTGTACTTCCCTCGCCACATCTTGTCGCAAATACCAAACTTGTACCATTGACGATAGTTCAATTTGTAGATAGTTCAATATGCAAGTGGGTATCTTTTCACTTGCAAATAACAATTACATAGCAAGTATTTAAGACAACAATGACATCAACATCTTGCTATATTTTCTTAACTAAAAGGGCGAGTAGTGAGTTAATGTTTTACGACAATGAACTATTTAGATGGGTCGAAACGGAATTCATCTAAGATATCTCGTTCTTAAAATTGGTGGTATATTTCTCATTAGAAGGAAATCTTAACACAACTTTTACATTTCCGCATAATCACTATATCGAGCCTCTCAGAAGTTCGTGAAGGCAGTCAGTCACATTGCTCGGACGTTTTCGCCGCTAAGTCGGGAGGAAATGAAAAGTGTTTTGCGAAACTTAAAAGAAATACAGAAACCTTCCATACTTCAAAACAATTCACAAACACTAACCAACTTCCAACAACTGGCCATTACAGAAACTGGAAGACAGAACATCAGCGTGATTAATTAAACATGCCAATTAGTAAACTTATCACATCTGACAGCCCAAACTTCACGACAACCAGCCCGCGGCCACCCCTCTGAAAGTCCTGTAATTGGCTTGGGGGATTTACACCCATCAAATTATGTTTTGTATTTTTAAGGTGTTTAATGCTAACTGTCAAGTGTGCATGTAGCAAATAAAATCACACTCTTTTCGCTCTGTTCAAATTAGGTCAGGCGAAAGCATGAGAAAATTCAATGCACGAGTAAATACAGCGGCAATTTGTAAACATTAAAGAAAAACAAAGGGTTGTCAGCAAACACTTACCGGTGATACTGGGGATGTACAGTCCGTTCAACGTGCTCTCAGTCTGGCGGGGGTGGAAGTTAGCCACCATTCTTGAATTTTGAGCCGTTTTGAGTGTTGTGTATTCTAAGCCGTGTAACACCAACGAGAATATTGTACACAGTCGTCCCAGCATACAGGAGTCATACCATTTGTGACCGGAGGGGGGCGAGGTGGGTTACTCGGTGCACAGCCTCGCTTTCGTCTTGCTTTCTCGCTCGCTACCTCGCTGGTGGAGCTTTTCGTTGCCGACTGCGCTTGTCAGCTGGGCGAGATCGATGGATTTTGAGACGACTCGAGCAGATTTATTGGGGGATACTGACACAAAACTCATACGCCATTTATTCAGCATTGAAGGAAAATGGCACCAAAACCATTTCGTCAGTTTCGCCACTCTCTGGTTTTGCGCATGCTGGAGAATTGAAAAAGGCAATTTTTTGGCTCGGTTTCATGTTACTGGGAAGGGGGAGTGAGTGCGCTCAACTCGCAACACTCGGTGACCGGGCGTGAGTACTGAGAGACCCCGGCGGGCCTGATATGTGCCCGACTCTCTCTACTCGCTACACAAGAAACGCAAGGCTAGAATGAAAGGGTTGCAGGGTCCCGGGGCACGCTTGTACAAGTGAGAGCAAAGCTGGACTTAATCCGCGTCAGTTTTGTTAGGTATTGTAGCTGGGAGCGCGAAGCTAAGTGAATCATACACGTTCAAGTAAGGAGCGGGGCGCTTGTCGTGGATTGTTCAAAAAGGTTTACACAGAAATCATTGTCAGCTCGGAATTTATTTCAACCGCTTGGAAGGTTACAGAACTGCGGGTCGCCAAATACCATATAAGGTGCGGGGCGGGCGGGGAATCACAGACAACAGAAACAAATACTGAACATAACAGGAAATGATTTTTAAAAGAAATCAAAATGGCTTAGTTATGTTCTTGTGCCACACTGGATTAACACATTACTTTGAATAAAATCCCACCAACGTTATTTGATAAATCATCAAAAACTGAAATATGTCCGATTATTGAAACATGACACTGACAATATTATAATATATACATGGTGGATAAATACTCGGCAGGTAATGTAGACGCTCAACTATATGAAAGCAATAACTTTTAAAAGTTTCAAAAAACATTGCCACTTCACCCCTTGATAAGGCATACATTGGGAAGTAATGCACGTTCGGGTACGAGGCACGCCATGTAGCTTCTGCATAGTTTGAATTGCGGAGGGCATCGTGCAAACACTACCCACTGAATGTGGGAAAACAGTTTTCAGTGAGCATCGCAACCTCAGTACCTCGTGGCCCACATGAAAATGCGTACTGGCGTGTTGAATGAGCACACAGAATTCTGATTGTGAGGTGGGATGGAGGGGGTGGGGGTAGGGTGAATGACGTGGAGTCGGTTGTTTGGCTGGCGCTCATGTTGGACGAGGGGGAAGAGGCAACAGGGCTGGCACTTATTACCATCCTTCCAAAACTCCATACAGGCCTACAGCCCGTCTCGCTTGGGAATAGGAGTCGAACACCCAAAACTACCTGGGCATGTAGTGACCCAGCTCCACGTTCCCGGTCGTTCACAGATAACTACAAATATAAACATTCTCCATACTTAATGCTGGTCACATTCTCCACACAGACTGAAGGTCACATTCACCAAACAGACTGCAGGTCACATTCACCACACAGGCTGCTGGTCACATTCCCCACACAGACTGCAGGTCACATTCACCACACAGACTGCAGATCACATTCTCCACACAGACTGCAGATCACATTCCCCGCACAGACTGTTGGTCACATTCTCCACACAGACTGCAGATCAAATTCTCCACACAGACTGCAGGTCACATTCTCCACACAGACTGCAGGTCACATTCTCCACACAGACTGCTGGTCACATTCTCCACGCAGACTGCAGGTCACATTCTCCACATAGACTGCTGGTCACATTCTCCACATAGACTGCTGGTCACATTCTCCACACAGACTGCTGGTCACATTCTCCACACAGACTGTTGGTCACATTCTCCCCACAGACTGCTGGTCACATTCCCAACACATACTACAGGACACATTCCCCACACAGACTGCAGATCACATTCCCCACACAGACTGCAGGTCACATTCACCACACAGAGAGCAGGTCACATTCTCCACATAGACTGTAGATCACATTCTTCACACAGACTGCAGGTCACATTCACCACACAGACTACAGGTCACATTCACCACACAGACTGCAGGTCACATTCACCACAAAGACAGCAGGTCACATTCTCCACATAGACTGTAGATCACATTCTCCACACAAACTACAGGTCACATTCACCATACAGACTACAGGTCACATTCACTACACACTGCAGGTCACATTTACCATACAGACTGCACGTCACATTCATCACACATACTGCACGTCACATTCACCACACAGACTGACGATCACATTCATCACACATACTGCAGATCACATTCTCCAGGCAGACTGCAGGTCACATTCTCCCCACAGACTGCGGTCACATTCCCCACACAGACTGCAGGACACATTCCCCACACAGACTGCAGGTCACATTCACCACACACACTGCAGGTCACATTCTCCACACAGACTGCTGGTCAGATTCCGAACACAGACTGCAGGTCACATTCACCACACAGACTGAGGGTCACATTCACCACACAGACTGCAGGACATATTCACAACACAGACTGCGAGTCACATTCCCCACACAGACTGCAGGACACATTCCCCACAGAGACTGCAGGTCACATTCTCCACATAGACTGCAGATCACATTCACCACACAGACTACATGTAACATTCCCTACACAGACTGCAGGTCACATTCCCCACACAGACTGCAGGTCACATTCCCCACACAGACTGCAGGTCACATTCACCACACAGGCTGAAGGTCACATTCCCCACACAGACTGCAGGACACATTCCCCACACAGACTGCAGGTCACATTCCCCACACAGACTGCAGGTCACATTCTCCACACCGACTGCTTGTCAGATTCCGAACACAGACTGCAGGTCACATTCACCACACAGACTGAGGGTCACATTCACCACACAGACTGCAGCACACATTCCCCGAACAGACTGCAGGTCACATTCCCCACATAGACTACAGGACACATTCCCCACACAGACAGCTAGTCACATACTCCAAACAGACTGCAGGTCACATTCTTCACACAGACTGCACGTCACATTCATCACACATACTGCACGTCACATTCACCACACAGACTGCAGATCACATTCTCCACATAGACTGACGGTCACATTCCCCACACAGACTGCAGGTCACATTCCCCACACATACTGCAGGTCACATTCTCCACACAGACTGCAGGTCACATTCTCCACACAGACTGACGGTCACATTCTCCACACAGACTGCAGATCACATTCTCCACACAGACTGACGGTCACATTCCCCACACAGACTGCAGATCACATTCTCCACACAGACTGACGGTCACATTCCCCACACAGACTGTAGGTCACATTCCCCACACAGACTGCTGGTCACATTCTCCACACAGACTGCAGGTCACATTCCGAACACAGACTGCAGGTCACATTCACCACACAGACTGAGGGTCACATTCACCACACAGACTGCAGGACACATTCACAACACAGACTGCAGGTCACATTCCCCACACAGACTGAAGGTCACATTCACCAAACAGACTGCAGGTCACATTCCCCACACAGACTGCAGACCACGTTCACCACACAGACTACATGTAACATTCCCTACACAGACTACAGGTAACGTTCCCAACACAGACTGCTTGTCACATTCCCCACACAGAAAGCAGGCATTCACCACTCAGACTGCAGGTCACATTCCCCACACAGACTGCTGGACACATTCTCCAAACAGACTGCAGGTAACATTCACCATACAGACTGCAAGGACACAAACACTACACAGACAGCAGGTCACATTCCCCACACAGACTGCAGGCCACATTCACCACACAGACAGCAGGTCACATTCCCCACACAGACTGCATGCCACATTCTCCACAAAGACTGCAGGTAACATTCACCATACAGACTGCAAGGACACAATCACTACACAGACTGAAGGGCACATTCACCACACAGTCTGCAGGCCACAATCACCACACAGACTGCAGTCCACATCCACTACACAGACTTCAGGCCACATTCACCATACAGACTGCAGAACACATTCTCCATACAGACTGCAGAACACATTCACCACACAGACTGCAGGCCACATTCACCCTCAGACTGCAGAACACATTCACCACACAGACTGCAGGTCACATTTCCACACAGACTGCAGGCCACATTCACCCTCAGACTGCAGAACACATTCACCACACAGGCTGCAGGTCACATTTCCACACAGACTGCAGGCCACATTCACCTCCCAGACTGCAGGTCACATTCAACACAGAAACAGCAGGTCACATTCTCCACACAGACTGTAGATCACATTCTTCACACAGACTGCAGGTCAAATCCTCCACACAGACGGAAGGTCACATTCTCCACACAGACTGCACAACACATTCAACACACAGACTGCTGGTCCCATTCACCAGATAGACTGCAGGCCACATTCACCACACAGACAGCAGGTCACATTCTACACATAGACTGTACATCACATTCTTCACACAGACTTCTGGTCACATTCTCCACACAGACTGCAGGTCAAATTCACCACATAGACTGTAGATGACATTGTTCACACAGACAGCAGGTCAAATTCACCACACAGACTGCAGAACACATTCTCCACACAGACTGCAGGGCACGTTCCCCACACAGAATGCAGGCCACATCCTCCACACAGACTGTAGATCACATTCTTCACACATACTCCACACAGACTACATGACACATTCTTCACACAAACTGCTGGTCACATTCTCCAAACAGACTGCAGATCACATTTTCCACACAGACTGAAGGTCACATTCTCCCCACAGACTGCAGGTCACATTCCCCACACAGACTGCAGGACACATTCCCCACACAGACTGCAGGTCAAATTCCCCACACAGACTGAAGGTCACATTCTCCCCACAGACTGCGGTCACATTCCCCACACAGACTGCAGGACACTTTCCCACACAGACTGCAGGTCACATTCCCCAAACAGACTGCAGGTCACATTCTCCAC